GTTCCTCTGGAACGCGCTGTACGGATACAAAGGTGAGAGGAGAGCGCTTGGCTTGCAGACGCGTAGATCTGCCGTCCCGTGTAACTACGCCTGAGAGAGACGCGGGGACGCTAATGTTTTTGTGCTCCAGAAAATTGCACCGGCCCGATGCCTGAGTCTGGCCATATTGGTCAGTGGCCTATGGTAATAAAATGCTGTTAGCTTAAATAGACTGATGCCTCCCTAGCCACCAGTGCTAGAAATCACGTTTGGTTCCCTTGAAAAGCTGTACAACCCCACACATCCGTGGTACAAGCCGCCTGTCTCTAAATACGGCGGTTCGTGAAATACTGTCTGCAAAAACCGTGGTGTTATTGGAATAAGCTGGTGGGGCGGGGAGCAAGATGATGACTCAGAGGAACAGGGTTTTAAGACTGGATCTCTCCTGGCCCTCTGGGGTTTAGAAACACTGTGCTGGACAAAGAACTTTTCCAAGCGCTGATCCTGGACCAGAGATCAGGCGGGAGACAAATGCAAATGGTGGTATATTCCTGGGATCTACAGGTTGGACATAGCCAATGCAAAAGGGAGGTGGGAGGAACTGTATAATAAGGTGTGATCATTTACTGAGCCCTGTTACACAGGGGTGACTGCTGAGGAGGGCCAGAGGGGCCACCAGCCACATGACCCCCCCCTCCCACGAGCTGGACCAGAGATCAGGCGGGAGACAAATGCAAATGGTGGTATATTCCTGGGATCTACAGGTTGGACATAGCCAATGCAAAAGGGAGGTGGGAGGAACTGTATAATAAGGTGTGATCATTTACTGAGCCCTGTTACACAGGGGTGACTGCTGAGGAGGGCCAGAGGGGCCACCAGCCACATGACCCCCCCCTCCCACGAGCAGCCTTGGCAGGGGGCTGGACTTGATGACCTCCTGAGATCTCTTCCAGCTCTATGGTTCTGTGACTCACCCCCCTCCTCCAGGACCTGCCTCACCCAACCCCTGTTCCACCCTCTCCCCGGTGCCGCCTCTCCCCTGCCCTTGCTCTGCCCTCGCCTTGCCTCTTCCCCCTCCACTGAGTGATGTGGCCCTGGGGACTAACGGGATTTTTACCCCCCTCCTCAGTCATCGGCAAGCAGAGCACTGTGGCCCCATCTCACTCTGTTCCCCATTCTGTGTTGCTCCACTTCCTGCTGGTGAGTGTGGAGGGGAGGGGATGGACCCTTGTTGTGAGCACCAGACACCCCCCGCTAGTCCGCCTGCCGGCTGACCCCTGGCCCCTCCCACCCAGGGTACATTTGGGAGGCTTGTTCTCCCCCCCTCCCTTACATGACACCCATGCTGTTACAGTAGACCTTGGCTTCCTTGGGCACTGTGCCTTTTATACCACCAATGCCTAACGGTGTAACAGGGTTAAATAATGATGGCAGATGAGGAGACTGCTGTGTTGGTTAGGCCTCAGTTGGAGTGTTGTGTCCAGTTCTGGGCACCACGTTTCGAGAAAGATGTGGAGAAATTGGAGAGGGTCCAGAGAAGAGCAACAAGAATGATGAAAGGTCTGGAGAACACGAGCTAGGAGGGAAGAGTGAAGGAATTGGGTTTGTTTAGTTTGGAAAAGAAGACTGAGCAGGCACGTGAAAGCAGTTTTCAATTACCTAAAAGGGTGCCAAAAGGAGGAGGGAGGAAAAAGTGTTCCTTTTGGCCTCTGATGACAGGGCAGGAAGCAATGGGCTTAAACTGCAGCAAGGGAGGTTTAGGTTGGACATTAGGAAAAAGTTCCTACCTGTCAGGGTGGTTAAACACCGGAATACATTGCCTAGGGGGGTTGTGGAATCCCCATCTCTGGAGATATTTAAGAGCGGGTTGGACAGATATTTATCAAGTGCTTGATCCTGCCGGAAGGGCAGGAGACTGGACCTGATGACCTCTCAAAGTCCCTTCCAGTGCTAGTGTTGTATGAGAAACCAAGGAGCGTTAGGCCAGGGAGGAAAGATTTCCAGCTGAGATTTGAAGTGGCATGAAGTACCAGCGAGCGAGGGAGATCCGTGACGGCCATTTGTATGGCAGGAGCTGTGTAGCTCAGGGGTTTGCCGTACAGATCCGTTTGGGGACCCACAGCGCGGGTGACGTTTGGAGGCAAAGGGAGTTACCGATGCAGGCGGTGGGGCTGATAGCGGAGGCCGTTTTTCTATGGACAGCCTCGGGCCTATGAGGTTTTCAGCGTGGTGCTTTTGAGTGGGATAGTGAACCATAAACCAGTGTCGCTCCACGGAAGTTAGTGGACCCACACTGACACAACCAGGGTCTGGCACGCTGCATGCACACACATCCGTCCTTTGAGAGACCCTCCTGTTGACCCCCCTCTCCCAGCCTGTGACCACTGTCTGCGGGCCTTGGAGACCGCCGAGGAGAACGCGCAGAGGCTGCTGGGGAAAAGCTCTCGGGTCCTGCCGCACCCGGAGCAGTGCAGCATCCGGAAAGATTTGCAACAGGCCTGTCCCCATTGTCAGGTGCGGTGCTGCTGGGGAGAGCTGGGAAGGGCCAACGCGGTGGCCTGATGTGGATCGGTTTGGATGGGGCGTGATCTGCCAGCAGGCCACGTCCCTTTCAGATTTGCCATTGAGGCTGCTGCCGCCCAGGGGTGGGGGTGCTCTCATTGGGGAGATGGAATGGCTTTCCTCGCTGCCAGTAGGCTGGGCAGGTCCGCCTGGGTCAGCTAAGCCGGCTCTTCCCACTCTACAGCCTGATCTTACACAGGCCTGCCGATGGGTGGGGCCAAAGGGACAATTAACCCCAGGACCTGGTGATTCAAAGAGGGTTGGGCTCCAGCTGCTACAACTGCTCGGAGCCCTGAGCCCACCCAGATGGCCCTTAGGGCTGACTGGGGAGGCCATGATGTGTGTGGTGTGCTCCAGGCAGCATGAGGGGGATGGCAGGATGCTGTGGTCCAGGCAGCGCTGAGGGCCAACTGCCCTCGGCCCCGCCCCTTTCTGCCCTCGGCCCCGCCCCTTTCTGCCCTCGGCCCCGCCCCTTTCTGCCCTTGGCCCTCCCTCTTCCTGGAGTGAGGAGTTCCCCCCCATACACACACCTTGCCCAGGAGCCTGGTGTGGCTGTCAGCTCCCCTGGTCTAGCACCATGGGGCTGCAGGGGAGAGTCATTGCGTGTGTGTCCGGGGAGGGATACACCCAGGCGGAAGACATGCCTTTGCTCCCTCTTGCTCTTCCTTGCCATAGATCAGGTCCAGGACTCTTCAGGGGATAGGACTGCTCCCGGGACCCCCTCTTCCCTCTCCCAGCGCCCTGCCTAGGGCTGGTCGCTGTCCTCCGGCTAAGGCGCCGTTACTCTTGTGCCGGCTGACGTGTGTCGCTGTCTCTCTTGCTGTCCAGGTTGCTTACTGCAGTGCCGAATGCAGGCAGGCGGCTTTGGAGCAGTACCACCAGGTGCTGTGCCTGGGCCCCTCCCGGGAGGACCCCAAACATCCGCTCAACAAACTGCAGGAGGCCTGGAGGTAGGTGTGTGGGAGGCACTGATGGACCAGAACTGTCTGCCAAATAGGCTGCACTGGCCCACTCAGGACTCGCCCTGTGTCCAGCTGAAAGTAGCCTGGGGCAGGGTCACTTACTGCCCAGCCTATAACCCTAGATGCCATCCACGGCCACCTACGATATGCAGCTGTCCCAGTGCGGCAGCCCGGCCACACCCCGCTTCACGGCCCCAGTGGGAACAGGCTCCTGAAGGCCACGCCTGTGTGGCTTGAGCTAGGAGAGAATCTCCCTCAGCTGTATGGAGGCTGCCACACCCAGCGGAGCAGTTCTGATGGCGTCCAGCAGAGGGCAATAGAGCAGCACACCCCAGTGCCTGTATTACAGCACGGCCCTTCCATGGTGCCATCTGCAGAGCTCTGAGCCTTTCGCAGGAGGGACGTGGAAGGTTCATCGATAAGCCTCGCCCTTAAGGGATGAGGCGTACCAGTTCTGGTCCACCGGTGGGGGCTGGAGCAGCTCCCTGTCCGCCGAGGAAAGGAGACTGCTTGAGCCCCATGAAGCCTGCCGTGGGTTGGGAGCTGCCTCCCCCCTTTTAATCGGCTAACCGGTTAAACATTACATTTAACTGCTTACCCAATTAAACAGGGTTTTCCATCCCTGCTTCATTATTGCAGT